AAACATTAATGAAAAACACCAGAGGCAGTTTGCCTTTTTTGAATGTTTTCCCCCAACATGAGCATTTGGGCAGAACCGAGGCGGATCTGCCGAATGTTTTGGGGATGCCAAGTCTCCATTCTTCTCAAAGGGAAAAATAGAGTTTCTTCTTCCCCAGCACTTTTGCAGACAGTAACAGGGGATATAAGTGCCCGGAGTCGAGCTGGTAAACATGTCAGGAAGCCAACTGGGCTCCAAGCATATTACACTGCACTGAATGGAGGAAACTATGCTGCTCTAACATGTCCTTTTGCACCTCTCCTGGCAGAGGAAATCAGCCCGAATCGGATTGTCATCTCGGAGTCCACGCCGCACAGCTTCCAGGTCAGCTGGTCCCCCACGCCAGACAGCGTGGTCAGCTATCAGGTCCTGTACGGACCGCTGCCCGGGAATTCAGCCAAACTTCTGGAGGTGGATGGGAAGCAGAACAGCACCGTGCTGGAAAACCTCACGCCCAACACAACCTACTTGGTGACAGTGGCGGCCATCTATAAGTCGGGGAAGGAGCGAGCCCTGTCAGCCAAAGCGTGCACTCAGGGAGGTGAGTGAGCAGTGTCCCTCTTGTCCCAGCTTTGATGCCACGTGGGGTCGAGCCCGACAGGGCTCCATCATGTCACATGTGGCCCCTGGGTCCAAACAGTGGCATGAAGTGGCTCCAAACCCCTGCCACCCATTGTCCAGACCAGTTGCTGCAGATCCCGTCTCCACCTATTTTGGATTCCCTGACCAATAGCTTTGCAGGCAAAACCAGCATCCTGCTGCAAAGTGGAGGTAGGCCCTGGGGAAAGGTCTCAATCAAGAGAACAGCTTGGTCTGCCCTACTGCCAGGATTGGGGTGGGGTCGGGGTGAACATGCAGCTTCTGGAGTATGCGCATCGCACTTCAGGAAATTGTGGTGGAAGGATACAGCCTAGGACTGATGGAAATGCAGCTGGGTACAGACTCCAGTACAGGCTCCTGTAGGATCTGCCCTTCTGAGCCACCAGTAGCACTGCAAGCAGAGCTGGCCTGGAAGACCCCAGATCTGCTTGAGCAGACGAGTGGGCATTGCTCTCTGCTCCCTCCCCAGGGATCTAGTTTGGTGCCTGTAAAGGAGAGATGATTGCAGAGCAAAGAGGTGGGAATGGGGTCTCATCAGGGGTCTGTCCCAACTGCTGTAGTTTGGTGTCTCTTAGAGTCCCTTATCTGAGGGCAGTCCCATGTATGATGTCCCCGAAACTTTGCTCATTGTAGGAGGTGATATTTGGCTCGAGTCAGAATGGTGGAAGAGTGAGGCATTGCAGAGAAGTGAGATGAGTTGTGGGACGCTGGGATGGAGGGCACCACAGTCCAGCTCCTGAAGGGACCAGAACCACTCGCTTGGGTTCAGCAGGGAAGCCAAGGACTGCTGGGCCCTGGCGATGAGACTGTTCCCCCATGCATAACATGGGTGGAGCCCCTGGAAAGGATGGTACGGGGCAAATCTTGGCCTGGTGCTGCCCAGGCTGCCCTGGTTTTGTTGGTAGAGGCATGAGAGCTGTCAACCCAGCAGTCCTCACCAGTGGTGGAGTCACTAAGGAAGGAAAATGGAGCTAAGAGGGGTGGTTCCCCAGGCGCAAGCCTCAGTAACATGATCTTCTTGCCCTCTCCCATGGTTAGAGGGCTCCAAGGTGAAGCACTTGCGCTTTGAAGACATGGGCCCTAACACCCTGAAGGCATCCTGGGACTCTGCTGATGGGAAAGTCCTTGGCTACCGTGTGAGGTGCCGGCGGCAGACGGGCCCCTCGTCTCTCATCAGCGTCTCGCCTCAGGTCCACAGCGTGCTCCTGACAGACCTGGCCGCAGGCACCACCAACAAAGTGTGTGTGAAACCCATGTACAAGGACCAGGCGGGGAAGGGGCTGTGCCGCATGGTGCACATGCAGCCTGGTAAGTCGGGGACAGGGCATGGGGAGCTGCGCAGCTTTCTGATGGGCAGACCCGGAGCACCCACCACAATACCCAGCGCCGTGGAGTCTCTGCTTGTGGGACCCCATAGGCCACCAGAAACCCAATGTCCAGTGGCTGCCGGCATGCCACAGTCTACACTGGTGAAAGCCATGACCACAGTGGGATAGAAGTGGCTGGATTTCATAGGTGCGCAGCACCTGCAGCTACCCATTGACTCAGATGGCATCTCTGGTCTAGGGTTTGAGACCCCTTTCAATGACTGATGTTTCAGAGGGTGGGTGCTCAGCCTCTTTGGACAGCCAAGCCTTTTTCTGGAGCGACTCAGGCTGATTGCCCAAAGGTTAAGTCAGTAGTAGCCCCACTGAACATACACTGGCATATCTAGAAGTGACCGATGGTTCAGCATTGAAATCTTCTCCCAGGGTGCAGGGGCCTGACCCAGAACTGCCTGAAACCCTTGGGAACGTTTTCACCTGCTCCAGCAGACCCCATATCTGGCCCTAACACCCCACTAAAAGCCTGGGGGCCGGGGTTACAACTGAACTCCACTGAGAAGCAGAGAGGGGCTGCTCTGTAAGGGGCTTGAAGGGAGGACTGGAGACCCGGGGCTTGAGGCAGTGGGAGGGACATTGGTACAGGGAAAAGCTTGCAGAAGGGGCTGTTGGGCTCAGGGTGATGGTAGAGGAAGAGGATCCAAGCCTGAATGGGCAGGAGTGCGTTGGGAAGCATCTGATATCAGACGAGGGGCTGGCATGAGGGTTCTGGCTTTGGGGAAGGATAGGAAAGGTCAGAGGCTGGACATTACCTTCCCAGGCCAGGGCCAGAGATACCCCCAGGTGAGGTCTGTGTGGAGGGGAGTCGCGTCAGAGCTGCGAACCCTCTGCCGCTTTGTCTTTACCAACCCAGCTGACCTCCTGTCTCACGTCCTTTCCAGCTACAGAAGCACAAGGATACACGCGCAGGCGGAGAGCGTGATGGACCCCGGACTGCACCGTTCCCCTGCAGAGCAAGGGGAAAGGATCAGACAAGAATGACTGTGCGTGGTGGAGCCCCACACGTCGCTCCCCTCCTGCATTGTCCCTCGAGGTGTGTCAGCCCCCCTAGCTGTAGCCAAGCCCAGCGGGCTCCTGAAACTGTAAAGCACTCCCATACCTTACAAAGCGGCTCGGCAGGACAGAGCAAGCAGGCTGGTGGATGGATTTGAACCATGCAGTGCTCTGGTTAAACAATGTGCTAGCCCCCGTCCCCTTTCTTCTGTATGAATTAGCAATGCGAAAGAGAAGTGGGGAATCCTCATTATTGTTCACTTGCTTCCTGATTTCTATTTATTAGCTCTTGTGTCTTCATTATGGCAGAGTATAAGCATGTTCCAGGTTCTGTAGGCGAAGACCCAGCCTTTCAGCTCTCGGGATTGGGCTCCAAGATGCCATGAGCTAAATTAGCCTCCGGTGTGGAGCTCCACAAATGGGGCTGGAGCGCATCAGGGGCTGAATAGCATCCATGAGCTCAGTGGGTTTGGGGTGCAGGCGGCGTCCTTGTCATGAGGACTAGAATCACACCAGGCAAAATGATGACTGCCACAATGAATAGCTCTTTTTATCCAGGCATCGCAACGGAGCCCATATTAGCTATCAAATGCAACCACCTCTGGGGTGGAAGGTGGCAAAAACCAGCAATGTAACACAGCAGTTCAGAGTGCACAGGGAAAACCCAGCTGAAACCATGAGGTCTTGAGGAAGAGGGAAGAAAAGAAGCAATTGCCCACCCAGGGTTCAGTGGCTGACTCACCGATCAGGCAACACCTTGAGTGCGATGTAATGTGCTGGGGGAAGCGGTATGACCACAGGTAGCTCAGAGATGGTCCCATGTCCAATTCAGGAGGCTGGTGCTCTGCTTGGTGAACGCTGAGGCATGGAGCAGTAGGATTGTCCCAGGGGCCAAACACTGGCAGGGAGGCCTCCGTGGCCCCTGCCTGTTGAAGTCTTAGCTTGAGCACCCATGGATTCATCCACTCCCTTCCATGGATGCCAAGCTCAGCCCAGGAGATTAAATAAAAATAGAGGACAGTCTTGGATGGAGCTGCAGCCTGGAAGCCATCAGTGGTGCTCAGGGGCAGCCAGGTCAGCCTGCTCAGAAACAAGGGGTTTTCATGAACCACGGTTACCTCCTTCCACAGCTTGGGTTTGCAGAGCAGCAGTGGCTGTGAGCCCTGGAGGAGGAAGGCCAGTTCAAGAGGCCGTTTTTATTTCCCTCTCTTGAACACGTGCCCGATAGACCTGCGGCAGGGCTGGCACTGGTTTGGAAGGCCCAGATGCAAATACCTACTGTGTCTTTCAGGCCAGGTCAGAGTCCCAGTGGCAGGGTCCGTCCTGTGGCTAAATAGATGCCCCCGGTCTGCAGGGTTTTCATTCCAGACCCTTCCCCAGTGCCACAGGCAAACACTGCCTTGTTGCTGCCTTGCCCGGGTCTCCTGCTCTGCTCCACAGCCTGTGCCGCATTTAAAAGAGGTGATTATGGAAGCAAAAATCCTAGAGCTTTTCTGTGGCCCAGGTCAGTTGCTTTCTGGATGGGGAGGTGTGTCTGGAAGAGGCTGCCAGCAATTATCTAAGTACCTTAGTGCAAAGGCCATTTTATCAGTGCAGCTCCCCCCTCCAAAGCACAGGGTCATAAGAGGATGTACATACTTCTCTGGTGGCCACGGGCATGCCAACGTGCATATATTCCCTTAGGGACGCTTGCTCCATTGCGTGTGTAAAGCTTGCTTCACCTTCCTGGGATGCATTTTAGACCTGTGCCCTATGTTTGGAAAGACATATGCCCTGCAAGCCCTCCCTGGGCCTGATCCTGTTCCATCTGAGTCAGAGGAAGCTTTGCTTTTGACCTGATTGAGTCTTATTTGTGCTGAGCTCTTACGTTGGCTTGTAGGCTTCAACCGCACGCTGACCCTTTGCAGAGGGGCAAATGTCTCTGTTGGCTCCAGTGGAAGAGCTTAAAGGACCCCGGTGTCTCTTTTAGGATGTGCATATTTAATCACAAGTAATGCAGACAGAGGTTCTGCCGGCATCCAGGGAAGGATGCAGCCTCCTGAAGCTTTCGTGCTCTGAGACGTAAGAGCATCTTGTTTGTTCCTACCAGTAAGATGGAGACTGCTTACATTTGCACAACTCCCTGTGTAATGTACTAACGTGTTAACATTGCTTCCCCTCCAGTGTAACATGTCCTTTTGAAGGCAGTAAATTAAATATACAGCACGAGAGCCGTTGAGTTGGAACTCGTCTTTCCTCCTGGATTATAATGCGGGAAATGTATATAAAAATGTGACTTCTCTTCCAATGAGAGCTACCGGTAGAAACGCTGGGATTCCTCTGAATTAAAAGGGACTGAAAAATAATCCTTTCCATCCACATCTTTATGGCAGGTAGACATGGGACCAATGTACCAAAGGAATATTCAAGATAGAGCATACTAGAAGGAACCCCTTTCTGTCCACAAAAGTATGTACCAAGTGGGATAAAGTACAATATTAAGATACCACGTAACTCAGTGTAATTGAGAGAGTATCGGCAGTGAATTTTAAATGGTGTGTATCGGCATAACTTCAACAGCGCTCCCTCACTTTCCACTAGCTATCTAGCTCCTTAGTTTTCGAAGGGCAGAAGCTGTACATTGGCAAACTTTTGGCCGGGTGCTCACACACCGCGCGGAGGGAAGCGTTAGGAATGCCTAGATAAGATTTGTAACAACTTTCAGAATTTATTTCACCGCCACAAGGATCAGTGGCAACGCAGCTTACAAACACTTTCCTGCACATCGTGAATAATAGCTTTGGACATGTTTTTAATCTCTGGGATGTTCCTGCAGATGATATATTGGGGTATGCATATCTTTTAGACAAGGGAGACCAAAGGGGATTGAGGCGGTGTTCAGCTGTAGCAGTGCCTCTGCTTTAAATGCCTTTGGATCAAATACAGTCGGGCTTGGCTGTCTAGGTAACTGGCCATATGGCCCAAGAGCTGCCAGATTCAGCCATGGTGAGATGGTTAAGTCAAGCTCTGATTAAGGGGGCTAGACAGAAATGTCCTGTATGGGCAGGTGATCCTGTAGTTGCCCGCGTGAGGGTCTTTGAAGCCTCTGGGGTTGGCTGCAATTGGAGACTGCATTAGGTGTGCTAGTGCAATCTGACATGGCAGTTTCTATGACCCTGTGCAATGCAGACATCCCTGCCTGCATCTGCAAAGACTTTGTAGGTCTTCTGAACCAAGCAAATGCTGCTCCATCAGGAATGTGAGTGGAAACTCCTCGTTTCATCTGCTGAACAGGTTACGATCTCTGCAGGGAGTGGCCAATGTATCTGGCCCCAGCTCCAGGTCTCTGCAACAGCGATTCATTGCAGACCCTTCCCCAGTGCCACAGGCAAACACTGCCTTGTTGCTGCCTTGTCCGGGTCTCCTGCTCTGCTCCACAGCCTGTGCTGCATTTACAAGAGGTGATTATGGAAGCAAAAATCCTAGATCTTTCTGTAGCTGGTGGGATGATTCCTTTAGCTCAGAATAAACTCCTGCTTTGGGGCGAATGCTGCTTGTAGCTCTCACCCTAGCACCCCAGGCTCACCTATGCTTCAAAGCAAAACTTTATCTGACTTCCATATGTAACCTATAGTCTCACGGCAGCCAGGAAGTCACATTTGCAAACAGTGACTCTCCCACCGGGGGCACCGAACTCCCTGAGCCAGGACATCGCGCAGTAGATGGCAGCTCCTTCTGTTGAGTTCAGCAGAAGTGAGAAGCATGTAACGTGAAGCGGTGGAGACAAAAGGGTTAAAGGAGGGAGCATCTGTTGTCACTGGTCAGAAGACAATAGTTTCATGAGGTATAAGCACTAGGCTGATTCCCACAGGCCGGGGTAGGAAGCGCCCATCCTGCCGGAAAACATTCTGAGAATAACACTGGGGATGAAAGACTCCCAAGAACAATGATGTCTGGCCAAGACTTGTCCCTTTCCCTTTGTGCTGACTGATATGCTGCTGTCTGTCCTCTCGCTGCTGCTAAGGGTGAGGGAAGCTGCGTGCAGTACAGCGAAGGGTAACAGGTTGGCAGCAATGCTTGCTTGTGATCCTACACAAAGGACATTATTACAACCTGCTCTTGAAAGTCCTAGGAGGCCTTTACAGTCCCAAGCTGAGTTTTCAGGGCTCACAGAAAGCAAATTCTTGCTGAGAGTTACCAGCTGAGCCAGGAAAATCAGCAGGTGCAATGTGAAGGTTATGCCATAGACTCTGGGCTGTTTGAATGAAACCACTGGAGATGCACGTGGACTGCAGAGTGTGGCTCCATGCCACTGGTCACTGCTGATCATTGTTGCACTTCATGTGGTTGAGTGCAACCTATAAGTGGCTTGTAGGAACAGAGACTACAAGGCATGTGCGCGCTGGGTGGGACTTCAAAAGCATCTAGAAGACCCACGGGGCCATATCCCATGGAAAGTCAGGGGGAGTCAAATCTTTAACTTTTACAAGCTCTTTTAGAGCTCTTTAATGCCTCATCTTTCAAGAATCAGCAAAATCCAGACCACTGGGCTGTTGGTTATTCATGAGGTAGAATTTGTAATATTTATTAATAATCCAAGTTTCTCATTTACACAGAATCTCTATAAAAAGTTGATACAAAGAGAGAACAATTACAATTTAAAAGGTAAGAGCAGGTTTAAAGGTTAGTGAGACTAAAGAGAGAGAACCATTTCTGGTCAAAGAAGCAATAGGCCACATTTTTAAATAAAGCTGCCTAATGTTAAGCACATACATTATTACTTAGGCAACTGGACAGGTTAGAAAACATTGGCTGATGTATATTTATAGAGACTACCGTAACATGGGTCACCCTTTGGGGTCACCAAAACTCCTCGGTTGAAATCCCACTTCCACGGAGGTCAACTGGAGTTTTGCCGTTCGCATCGGGGCACCAGGTTTTTATAATCAGTGGCTTCCTTCCTAATGCTTTAGTAAGGAAAATCTTACACCCCACATATAGGTATGAACCCCTGTATCTCAGACTCTACGGGACAACCCATCACTCAAATAAGTGACAATAAGGCCTTGGCTGTGTGCAGGCCTCCTCTTCCATCCATCATTCGATAGGATGCGAACTGTTGTCACCCACCCTTTATGAACAAAGCAACCATGGTACAGAAAGGCAAAGCGACTTGTTTAGGATCACACGGCCAGGAAGTGCTGGGGATGGGAGAGAAATGAGCTACCTTGATCCTCCATCCCCATGCTCTAGCTGATAAGGTAAGGACATTCACTTTCCCCCATAGCTGCTGTAGCTTTAAAGAGGCTGTTTGTCGGGTAATTTCATTCACTACGAGTCTTATGGGGGGCTTTAAGTTTCATAAAACCTGCCAGAAATGCTTGGAGGTTTTTTACTTGAATTAAAGTTTAATTTCTTTTGGTGAAGCTCTAAGCTCCCAGCAGCATGATCCTAATGCAGGAGCCCCAGCACGTGAAATGTGAAAAGTAAATCAGGATAAACAGCAAAAGAGTAAATTTAATATCTTTAAATGTCAGTTTCTCTAATGGTTCCATTAGGAAAAAAGAAGTGATGTATAATTCAATGCGGTATCTTTCCAGACTGCACGTGACAGATCAAAGCAGCTGAAAATGAATCTGAGTGGGGTTTAACAGGGTAACTATATTCTCAATAGTTCTGTAACTTTCCTGGAGTCTCCAACCACCTGGTTAAACCCCTGACTTTCCTAGGAGAAGGACACAGTAATAGTAGCAGTTACTGATTTTTCAGCAGTGAGCGATGCCCATTTGTTTATGTCAGACCAAAATGAGCTGGAGAGAGACTCTGTTGCAACCTTATTTTTTATTTTTATCTTTTTTTCCAGTAAACCCTACTGGCCTTGTGAAATCACCTCCCGTTCCCAGCTCCCCCTCCATAATAATTCAAGTTTTGCCATGAGTGTAGCAAATAAGTTACCAGTGCTGGAGAAATGAAGCACTCCCTGTATTCCCACTGTGCTTGCTAGCCGTGACCAGTGGCAACAGAGTTTTATTAAAGCAATCAATAAGTCCTAAGACCTCCTGATGGAAATTACAAATGTTAATCAGAGCGCTGCTGTTCAAATAGATTGACTTGTGCTGGTTTGGGAATAGAGATGGATTGGCCTCAGGGTGTCTCCTCAGAAACTCTGGAAATCACGGGTATTGCAAACTAAAATGTTATGCCAGTGTTTTGGTTGCCAGAACTGCACGCACTGCACTGTGAGATCTTGCACTGTGGAAATGCTCACACTTAAAAGTGACCACTGAAAGCAGCATAGCTTTAGATCCTCCACTCATCAGCAATTAATTACAGAAAGACTTAAAGGCAAAACAAAGCCACCTGCAGAAAAGTCATAGGGACTTCATTAGGGCTGCACTTTGGAGGAAACAATCATTTAAAAGGCGGAAGCCCACAGGCAGGAGGGTGGAATGAATGGTATTGCAACATTTGCAAGCACGCTGGAGCCAAGGTATGCTGTACTCTGAACTTTTCATCATCTCTGGCCGTAAGATTTGACAAATGGGGCTTTACGTTGGCTTCCGATGTCTATGTTATCAGATCAATCTTTCCCACTGCGTTGCTGCCCTCTTCCTGTTTCCATCCCCATACCCTCTTCCTTGGTTTTTGGAGGGCTGCAAGTAAGCTGAGTAGGGATGATTTGTACAGGGAAATTCCCTCCTGGGCAGAGTGTGAGCACATAGATCATTGTTGATCTATAGACAGAGGTAGATAAGTGCATTAGTGATGTAGTTTGCTAACGTTCATGCTAACATACCACTTTCAGTACTGAAGGCAACGGAGTTCCTCCAAGGATGGAAATGGTCGACAGATTACTGGGTTGGAAGAATACTGCTTCCTGCCACCTTGTTACCTCTCCTCCAAACACAGCATACTAACATCCTGGAATACACAACCCCAAGTCTCTCTCACTGGCATGGGTTAGTGCTGGGGATGTAGCTCTTATTAGAGAGAAGCCAAGTGTGCGGGTTTCGAATGTTCTTGGAACTCCTTGGATGCTGACTCCAGTTCTTGCCGATAGTTATACATGGACTGGAGGTCCTGACTGCTCCTCAGCAACTGGTTATTCTTGTGGGCTTCGTAGTGGAACTGGGAGCTTTTCATCTCATACCTAGAGAACAGAAGCACTGGTACTGAGCAAGCTGAGAAAAGGATAGGAGCCATCAAGAACAGGCAACTCAGAAATGGATCTTCTCCAATCTTTCATTGTCACGTGGAGCCCTCCCCCCACCCACGATTCCTTCAAGCCCATTCTGAGTCAGGCCAGCAAGTATTCATAAAAGAGGTGTTAACTTTTCTATCTGGGATTCTCTGGCCAGTCTACAAAAGAAGGTCTAACCTCAATGCTAAATATCCAAGTGCTGAGAATCGTCCCCTCCAGAGCCTGATGTCACGCTGATGGAGGCCCTATGACTCCTGGGGTGGGGATACAGTTGAGTCATTTCAGCTAAGGCTGAGCAGAACTGTAAACAGTGAACTGCTTTCACTGGTTAAAGAAAGTACACAATGTCTACAAGCAGCCTCAGCACACTCTCCTTCTGCCTTTACTCCCACCAGACTGGAATCTCTTTAGCAAACACTGATTTCCTCCTCTCAGGACTTGCCCTCTTGTGTTTCCCAGGGAGCACAAGATCAAAGTCTCTGGTTGCATTCTGAGAGGTTGATTACTGGTGCCTTGGTTTCTTGGGTTGGTAGCTAGCTTTATACTCCCTCTGCTGGTTAAGCAGCTGCTCCTACAGCAGTAGAATAAAAGTTGGGAGTTAACAGTTTTGAGCATATGGTGCCAACAGTCACCTATAAAATGCACCTGCATTTTGACTGTCTGCACTGCCCAAAACTTGGCCTTGCATGCACAAGTCTCTTGGCTGCATCTGTATATGTGCTTTGCAGATGTGTCCCAGAGGCCAAGTCAGACAGCTCAGTCCTGAGTCAATCACTGGGACAGCTAAGGACGTGCTGGGTGATGTGTTTTCGGAGCACTGCTGGGAAGTGAGTTTATATATGCAAAAGCAGCCATGGAGCCTTAGAACCAAGGGCTCCTCTCTCTCATGGAGAAACCCACTGCAAAGCCCAGACCCTTGACCTGCCTACCAAGCCAAGGATCAGAACTTACCACTTGGGCTTGGGGCCACGTGTTCGTTCCAACTCCTGCTGCCTCTTCAGCTCCAGTAACCATTCCTCCTCCATACGCAGGCGCTCCAGCCGGAGGCGCGCCAGCTCCTTCTCATACGGGGACATTTCTATCAGGGACCTCCCCACAGCACCTTCTGCGAGAGTCTGCAAAAACCTGATAAACCAGGCCCTTTGGTTTTCAGGACTGTCCCATTGCTGGGAAAGTTCAAAGCATCCTCCACACTACAGCCTATAGTTCTAAAAGCGACTAGTCTGGTTGGTTTTGAGCATTCATCAGGGTTGCCGCACCAAAGTGCCTGATATTTCCGAAACTCAGCACCGTCTCAAAACTAGGCCCCTTTAAGGTGTTTCAGACTGTAAAATCTTAACCAAATTGAGTACCCATTTCCCCAGATGACAGTAAGGAGAAAAACAGAGTGAGCTGGGGGGATATCTGTCTCTTTATGTTGCGGGGCTGTTTGGAAGAGATGGCTGGAAGAATGGCCCCTATCCTGGGCTAGGATTAAAGTTGTGGTGCATTTTCTAGCAGAGAGGTGTATGTTTCTAAGTGATAAAAGACATATCGCGTCGGATCTGGTGACTTTTTATTTACATGGCTGTGTGCTAGGTCTCTTGTACACAACACAAGCTTAACTCATACGAATGTACGCAGTGTAATGCCTTTCTACACTAACACTTGGGCCCTGCTCTAAGGCAATGACATCCTTATAATTACTGCCTTCCATATTTAAGGCAAGGAATGTCCACCTCCAGTGACGCAGGTGACCGCATCACGTGAGGGGCACTGTTATGTTAAAATCAAAAGTAAAGTTTTGATATCATCTTCATCTATAAACTACAGGTCTGATTCAAATTTGCTTTGAATCATCTCCCAATGGCTTTGGTGAGAGTTGTACCAAGCCCCAAAGTAACAAATCAGTACCCTGTATCCTGGGAACATAACCAGTGTGGCACATGATGCAGTTATCTGGGCTTATACCAACTGTGAGACATTCCAACTTCTGTAAAACGTTCTGGGCTTATACCAACAGGAAAATCCCACAGAAAGCTTACTTTCCCCCCAACATGTGGCTTCTTACCTTTCATTGATCTCCTGAGCTGTGGGTGAGGCTATAGCAGCAGAGGACAGACTGTAAGGACTCCATGAAGAGCTCAGTGCCCCCTTTGTGGGCATCCTGCCTGGAGTGCAGGACCTGGCCGCCAGTGCTCCTGGTTTGTATATTCTGGAGCGGGATTGCCTGGTTGCTGCTGTTTTCTTCCTGCTGCTCCTGGACCTGCTGAAGTGTGGTGCAGGCTGGGCACAGGCATTTGCCTTGGCTGAGTTTGGTCTCCAGATAGGTCTCGGGGACTGTGAGCGAGATCGGAGCCAGCGGGTTCTTTTGGATGCTGGAGAAAATGAATGGGATCGGTTGGTCCTCAAGCGATCAAAGGAGAGAGACCTGCCTCTGTCCAAGGGAGAAGTGACCCTTTCGGGTGAGCGGGCCCTCACTGGGATTTTAGGGGGCAACAAGGCCTTGACTCCTATCACGTGAGGAGCACCAAGGTTCTTTGGAAATGGTTCTGCAGATGCTAGATCCACAGATGGCAGACAGTTTCTGCTTGCTATCTCACTCCCGAGGAGCCCTGCCACTTGGCTGACTGGTGACGAGGAGAAGATTGGAAGGCCTAGGCTCGCAAGCGCTGGATAGTCTCCCAGAGGTCTGATCAAATGTGTTGGCTTTAGAAACCACTCAGACTCATCAGGTTGCTTCAGTGTGTCTCCACTGTCTGCCTTCATGTAGGCCCCACTGTGAATCATTGGCCACTTCAGATTAAAGGGACCTGACCTGTCTGCAGTGCCAGAATCTAGGGTATAATCTTGATCTGTGTCAAAACTCAGACTGGAGGCCAAACTGTCCACCTGAACTTTAAGTTGCTGTAAACTTTCTTCTAAGTCATCGATGGTGGGACTTTCCTTCATATAGGGAGAAAAACGAGTTTCTAGGGAGGGAAAAAGTGCAGGTGTTCAGAAAGTGCACATAAAAATACTTGTTGATTGTTTCCAATTATTGGTTACAATTGGTCATGTACTATTAGTGGTGTGGAAATGTCAATAGTAATGCACTGTACTTATATAGCTCCTTCTGATAGGGGCCCTCACATCACTTCACAAAATACAATTCACCATTCTACTGGAAGAGAAGAACTATACTACAGCTTATGGTTATTGTTAAACTTGGCTCTATTCTGAACAGGCAGGCATTATTCAATACATCATAAATATGGCAGTCATGGATAAGTACTGACACCATGAGAATTAACAGAGAAATCTAAATGAGAAGTGAATGTGGTGGCTTGGCATCATTGCCATTTTAAAGCATAATCTCAGAACAGCCAAGCTGTGTATTTCACTAGGAGCCTTTATTCCAAAGCATCCCTAACACTTTACGTGCAATGGGACCAATGCAGACCACAGTTACTGCTATGTGTAGCATTTACAACTGTAAGGGTGCATCTACATGTGTGCTTTACTGAGGAGTAGATTAATTGGCTCTGCAGTAAAGTGTCACAATCTACACATGCGACAGTATTAGGGCACAGTACATTAACTCTGCCATAAGATAGTACTGTCAGAGGCAGAGTAGTACAGTCAGAGACAGTACTATCTTAATGGCAGAGTAATTTACTGCGCTGAAATGCACATGTGGATGCTGACTGCGGGCATAAATTGCACCTGGTCAGCCCAGACTCAAGTTGCTGCTGTCCTGGGTGCATGTGTAGATGCTATGCCCAGGAGCAGTTTCCTCTGGGTCAAATGGTGCTGGAGTGTATTGCATTGCATTAACTGCATGTGTAGATGCACCCTGAGTGGTACTAGCTTCCCTTTCTGGCAAGCAGTAGGCTCAGCGGTCAGCATTTGCAGAATCAGCTGTATGTGCCTATTGCACCACTGAATGCAGCCACCTTTGTGTCAGCCTGCTTGGGTCTGAATGTGTCATTCCAGAGAACCCAGCCTTGAGTTTTGAACCACTACTAGCACCACCTGCTTCCTGGAACTATACTTATTGTCACAGGTACATAAAAAAGAGAAACTTCAAATAAGTTAACATTATGCTCCAACTTTTAAATCCTCTGGTATAACAAGCAGGCTTTAATTTTGGCTTGAAAAGAACTTTATATTTTGTGCATGCCTGTAGATGCCAGATATGTGCAAATGCCACCAATTTTCCTTTCAACATGAATCTTCTACTGCTTGAATAAAATGGACTTTAATCCCCTGACACTTACGCTGTTTGGCACAGTTGGCCTCAATGCACTTATTCCTGATTTTACTCTAAAATAAGAAGGCAGCATGCCTTTCCTAGATGATAAATCATGCTATATAAAAAGACAGTTGCCAAGGCTAACGCAGTAACTTTACTATGACAATTCATATCTCATCCTACCAATTTCTCCTTTAAATAACGAAGATCCTTCCCAGTCTCTGGGCTGTGTCCGGCTCTTCTGCAGTTCTTGGAGGCTCAGGTGATGAGTAGTGGTGGTTTTCTGCGTGTCGCTAAGGAATTCATTTGGCTTTTCTCTTTAAAGGAAAGATGAAGTCTATTAGTGCCAAAAGTTTTTCTTATGCAAACTCTAGAACTCTTGGTTCAGAGATGAGACCTTTTATTAGACCAACTGAGAATTAGACCAAGGTTATTAAACCAACTCAGAAAGGTTTTGTTAAATTTAGTAATATGCTCCATTCATGCCAGTTATATTGAAATCAAGGGAAAGTGTCCACCAGGATGTGCTAAACTCAGCTATAAAACATGTTTGCTCCAGGCTCTAGCAATGACAGCCTCCAAAATCCTCCTGCCTCAGAAACAGGTTGCTATGGTTGGAAGCCATTGGCTCTGTGGAAACCAAGAGCCAGAAACGGACTTGAATTTTGCCCTGTTGCACCCATGCAAACATGCAGGGCTTTGCCCGAGTCCGTGGAGTGGGAAGGGTGAAAACCCAGCTCTGAGAGAGCCGGGTCAGGCCTCGTGACACAATCTTGCGTTGCCTTCATTTCTGTGCTCTGTAAATACTCTCATGGGTGCAAAAGGCGGCTCGTCACGGCTCGGGCACCTCTGTGACTTACAAGGGGATCAATCCTGAGGGATGTGACACTGAGGCAGCTTGCAGGGAGGAGGAGGAGCTGCAACGATGCAGTGTGCAGCCGCTGTTACACTGTAAGTGCTAGTTGCACCTCAGCCTGGAGCAAAACCACACCAGCTTTTACCTTGACCCACTGGGGGCACAGACTTTACTTACGCTGCTCTGGGCTTGTGCACAGGAAACACATCCAGTGCAACAGCTGCTGCAGGCTCCCAGGTGCAGCTCTGCCATGAATTGTGAAGCTGCTACAGGCATAGGATTGCCCGTACCCAAAGAAGGGTGACAAACTGACCCCGGCCCTACAGTGGGTAGCAGCAGGGTCAGGTGGCAAGTCGCAAATCCCAGATGTTCCACCCTCCAAACTCATGCTCTCAGGCGTGGGTTCATGTGTGAGTTGTGTTCACCCAGCTCCCCACTTCCAAGGGGCACAGGCAGGGCAAGGAGCCGTATTGCCTTGCACATAGCGCACACCGATCCCCCCACCCCAGAAACCAGCTGATGGAAATTTGAACTGCACGTTATATGTGAGAACTATGGTACAAGAGGTTTCCTTGCTTTGCAAACAGGGTGGGGATTATACACTAGGGTGTGTATATGTGAAGAAATATGATACTTGAGAAAATATGGTAATCGAGGTGCTGGGCTCTGCCCCCTGTAGGGATCTATATCTTCCCGTTGTATACTGGGGCATTTATATGCAAAGAAATACGGTACTTGAGGAAAACAGGTAATTGAGAAAATACGGTAATCGAGGTGCCAGGCTCCCTCCGCTGCGATCTGTGCCCCCCATTGTATATGGAAGCATTTATACGTGAACAAATATGGTACTTCAGCAAATATGGTACTTGAAAAAATACGGTAATCGGGGTGCTGGGCTCCCCGCCCCCGCGGGGATCTGTGCCTTCCCATTGTATACTGGGAAGTTTATATGCGAAGAAATACGGTAATTGGGAAAATACGGTAATCGGGGCTGCGGTCCCCCCCCGCCGCGCCCCCACAACCCCCTCTCTCCGATCGGCCCCGGCCAGTACCTGCCGGGGGCGCCGCAGCTCCGCACGCCCCGCGCCCCGTCCGCCATGTCCGCCCCGCGGCGGCCCCTCCTTAGCGACGCCCCCAACAGTCCCGTTGCTAGGGGAAGCACCGCCTCGTTCCCGTCCGCTTGACCCTCCTCCCCTCCCGTCCGACAGCCGCCGAGTTCCTGCCCCCTTTTCCTCCGCGCGCCAATCGAAACCCTCCTCCCCGCCCCCACGGGGCCAATCCACAGAAGGGGGCGGAGTGGGGTCACCGCGCCGGCCGGAGCCAATCGGCGCTTGGCAAACCGCGCCGCTTCCGGTGGGGCGCCCCAATGGGCGCTCG